TTATAGATGAAAGTTAAAAGTACAACACGTGATTTTAAATTCGTTGACGGATTTATATAGTCATTCTGAGTAGAATAATTTGTAGAGAAAGGAGGTGAGAGGTATTAAAATATGCAGTATGCCACTAGTGCAATAATGTGATATTAACTATCATGGGTGTAGACATTTTGACAGAAATTCAAGTGTTGTTTTGCAGTATGTCACAACCATTATGAACCTCCTCCATAAACTTCAGGCATCCCTAAACGTTAATCGCTGCTTTCGCATGTCTGTGTACATTAAAATATGAAAACACAGAAACTGTGTAAAACGTTTTTCAACACTGAAACGTTTTCACGTTGGATATGTACAAGTAAAATAATCTGTTTTTTCTGACTTCACAGGAAATTTGTTTTGGAATTCATTCTGTCCACATTTATTTTGCCACGATGATCTTTGTACAGTCCACATCGTATCACAATGCTTACTTGCTGTTTAACAATTTTCAGTCAGTTATCTTTGAAAAGATATTTATCTGTGTTTAGTTGCTTCTGTTTGCTGTCACAGTATTACAGATTTGTCAAGTGATTTAAGCAATCATCTACAGTGTGGTTAACAGATGCTCGATTCATAAAAAGGAAATCATTCGTGAAGTGCTCAAACACTTTACTTCGAATACAATCATTTATCAAACGTGATGAGAAGACGTTGTAGTGCATCTGTTACAGCAGTGAACAGGTAGCTTTTTGTCACCTATTTATGCGAGAGGTTATCAACCAGACAAAATGTTGAAATGGAAGTAAAACCTTGTTAGGAAAGTAGTAATTGAGTCTAGTCGGTAAATACTATACTCCATAAACCATAACTCACTGTTTAGACACCTAGTGTGATAAAGGCGTTCTCACATTTTCCGTCATCGACTATATGTATAGAAATATAAATCTATATTCCAAAGCTCATATAATTCGGTAGGTAACGATCAATTTCTTGGAGTCAGTTTACCTGAATGGAGCTTAAATTGTTAATTGAAATTCTATTCATATTAGAAATCTGAAAATCCGAAGTTGACATCCGTAATATGTGCAGTGACCAGTTTGTTTTGAAAATCTCACGTTTCATGATTTGATTTACCACTATTGCTAGAGTCAATTTTCTACTAAAAAAACCAATATGAAACAATCTACCTTCATTCTCATAATCAGTGAGATTATGAGCATTAAGTGTAATTATGTAGCATGTGTTCTACCTTTTTTTAAAACTCTTTTACTTTTAACAGCGTGATTTTTAGGCAGAAAATGAATTGCCTTAGATGATAATCATTGGAGCACAAATTGATTTCCAAGTTCATGCAAATATCTGATAAAAACATGCTATAAACCTCTGATACTGGGGTTTAGTAATACTGACGAATGAAGTTGTTTAGACCATGATATGACACTCATTGTAAAAACTCGAAGGCTACTTTCGTCTTCAACATATTAAACTTAATTAACTTCTGCCTTCACAGAAGTTGATTTCATTTAAACATGAATTATAAATCAAATCAAAAACATCTTGACAATGGAATCAGATATCTTGGCTGTTCGAGTTTAGACCACTCGAAACTGCTGGTGCAATATTTGCTAGCAGGTGATAATGACGAATTGTCTATTCATTATTGACCACAGTGAACATTGGAAAAAGTAAGTACTATTTTGTGTAGATAATTTTGGTGTTAAGCCACTGCAGGTGAACATAAATTAGCTGCAATATTTTGGCTTATTAGGGAAATATATCTTTGCCAATAGTTCTCTGAAGATATTTTGAAATGTTTAAGGACATGGTACAAATACTACTTTGAAGCCCGAAAAACGAAGACCTGCTCGGGTGACTCTCATAAGTACTCTACTTTACAAGATTCGTGAAGTTCAACTCTTCAGCTAAAAATCAGAGTACGTGGCAGACATATATCTGTTTCTTATTCAGGTTGAGGCTCGTTTAATTATCTTTTTTAATTACAGAATATAGGTTACTTAGAATATTTTGAAGTAAATAGGATTTTTACTACAATGATATCATGGATTCTATGAAATAAAAGATGGAGACAAGCACTGTTTTCTTTTAAATAATCAGCTTTCTAATGTACCTAACTTCGCTCAACTTATCCAACAGCCATTTGGAATTTGAATGTTTCCACAGATTTTCCTAATTTCATATTATCGACGATTTCATTTAAATACGTGTATATCGGAGACATCTTTGAAAAGTATTGTCATTAGAAGTTGATGCTAACTAGGAAACCACTCAGAAGCTCCTTACATGTTTCTCTCTATCTCGGTACACCTAGTTAACCTAGAAGCTATGGTCTTTTACAGAATACGGGCAAGGAACTTAAGATCAATTTTAAGTAATAGAAAGTGTAGCGTTTCTACTAAACCAGATTCATTCCAATTTATATTCTCACTCAAATTTTTCAATGTCAAATCTCGTGAAGTCCTAAACTGAGAAGTAAGCATGTTTGAGCAGAAGAACAAATGATTTGGGAGTTAACTGAACTACGAAGAAGTCTTTGTAAACTACTCACGATTGATTCTTTATGAAGTAAGTGATGATGAATTCAAGCTGTAAGAAAAGGAAAGAATTTAATTACTAGCATCTCGAAAAAGGTGCTTAAGAAGAGAAAACAAATTAGTATTTTCTAAATTCTCATAAAAATAAAACCACCAACACTTCTAGAGAACCATAATATATTTTGTATTTAGACTGATCAATTTATATTAGTTTTGTTCTTTTTTATTCGCTTGAACTCATTAAAAGCAACAGGTAAGATCTCGCACGTGATCTGGAAACACTCCTAAACTTATTTCAGTGTGCCATACTAGATCATATCCTGATTGTTCAACAATAACAAAAATGCAGGCATTCCCATAAGTTAGTTAACGGAGTGCCTGGAAACTCGTGAGTGATACCAGGTAACTGCAGCCGAAGATTTCTAATGCAAAATAACTATTAAAGCCACTTTCACACTTTGCAAAGAGATAAATAAATGGCATGATATATTTACTTTCTTCCTATCAGCAAAAGTTACTGTAGTATGGTATAATGTTGAATGCTTATGCTTCCTTTACAATAAACTAACAATAGAAGGGTAAGTTTTAAAACTTCAACCTGTAGGCCTGTGCATACCACTTCTACGCTCTAAGTGGCGTATGTTGAGTGAAACTTTTATGGGGAAAAATAACTCGAGGATTCAACTACTTCTAGATGAAGAGTTTCGAGTGAAACGAAACGCACTTACTCATTCTTAGCAGTTGCATGACGTAAGTGGTGTTTTTGAATTCAGTTTCTTGAAAACTCACTGAAGTTATCTATTTCAATAATGTTAATTTGTGGATACTTTACTGCAACAAGCCCCATACAAGCCGGCATTTCGAAAAGATAATTCTTATCCTCATATCCAGAATCCCATGAACTTCCTGTTAACATTGTAATACATTGCTTCTGACCTGTTTCTACCATAATGGCTCATTTGAAACATATATGTCAGGCAAACAATGTTCTCTCCTTTCTTCATGATTTGTAAGGAAATTCATTCTATGGTCTTCAAAATGTCATACTTTCTGAATATGAAATACTGTAGAAGTATTCATAAGCAACTCGAAAAAAACTGACTTTCATTTGAATGGAATCCTTGTTACATACATCGGTTTAAATAAAAATTCAAACGCGTTTAATAAATGATGTACCGAGACACAACTAGCCTTAAAAACTGACATATTTACCTCTACATCTCAAGTATTTTCCCCCTGTACTGATAATTGTCTAATTCGTGATGAATTAAGGTCCTACTTTAATAAACATTCTCAGGTGTATTCTTCCAAGGTGACTGTGAACCTTAGTCGACCTAGATGGGTTGGACGTGTGCTGCGCATGCCGATCCATCACCCGTGACGGCGTGCCAAACAGTAGAAATGGTATCAGTTTGAAGGAGGATTCACCGTGGCCAGACTGGGACGTGGCACGAGTCTATGATGTTCCTAACTGTTGGAAGATGTAGACTTCCTGTCTCGGATCCCTGAGACGATAGGAATCAGTGGTTGAGAATTCCTGATGACGGCTGGAAACCGGTCGTAATGGCGCAGATGTACTGACATTTTCTAAAGCTTCAATATTCGCACTTCTAATTGCTTGTACTCTCATGCGACTTTTTCTACTTTGATATCACTTTTTTCTATCCACCTGCTCCTTATATACTACCGTGAATTGTGGAAACTTGAGCCGATACACCTGTGTGCATCGTTCCACGTTGATTTCATTTACGTCTGATTCACTAATGCAGAAGCAATGAAAAAAACTCTATTGATGCATTTAACTTGATACTGGGTGATGATTGAAGGTGGAATAAAAATCTGGGCTACGGCAGGATGCAAACCAGAGATCACCGGGTTTCAGGCCAAGTACTCTACCAACTGAACTACAAAATCCGACCACAGAACAAGTTTAAATTTCACTTCAATCATTAAGGTTTTTGGCCATCTGTTGTGTGAACTGGTGATACTATCTGTTCGTCATACTCACACATTTAAGTTAGCTTAAAGTAATTCATCAAGGAAAATTTTAATCTCGAGGAATTGATTTCGCTAACAGTACAATGATATTTATCTAAACAGCAATAACAAACGAACAACTTAGTCTTTTAATACCTAATGGGTCGACATTGGATCATCATAAGACAGTGTTCTAAGAGCAAAGAGCACACCGTTTCTAGAGGAAGAAAGGAACTGTACGTCGATGGTGCAAAGTACATACTAATCACCAAACGATTAAGTGCAATTAAAGTAGCCTGTGTGTTGTCACATAGTACGACGTTATCGTCCGCATATTCAAGGTTGAATAGGTATTCTCTGGGTAGTAGATCTACACCACCGTCATTCACCTTCTTCAGAGCTGTCTCATGAATGTCATAGATGGCAAAATCAAAAAGGAATAGAGAAATCGGGCTATCCTGCCTAATCATACTCGTGGTTTGGAACAATAGAGACGGGTTGTTGTATATCTACCACCTACTGAAGGCGTTATTATATTGGGCTTTGAGGATGTTAATAAATCTCTCAGCCACTCCCTTGTCTAATAGACAATTCCAGAGTACAGCTCTGTCCAACGAATGTCAAGAAGTGTAACAATTTTCGACCTACAGTACGTCTGGCGATGTCCAAGCATCTGGTGGGGGGTAAACACATGTTTAATTCATTCACATGACATGAAATAAACCCTGTCTGCTCCTTGTGAATCTTTTTCTCATGCGCTTTGCAAAGTCTGTGAAGTATAATAGCAGCCAATATTTCCAACATGACTGGTAACAGACAAATACCTCGATGATTGTCACATGCATTACGTAGACCGTTTTTAAAGATGGGCACCATGATGTCCTCATTCCAGAGTGATGGAAGACTCAGTCTGCATTACCTTCTCAAACAATCTAGTCAGTTGCGTGATTAGAGTCGTTTCTCCACATTTAAAAGACCTGGGGTAAGTTGTCTGGTCTGTATGCCATGAGGCGTTCCAGAACTTAGAGTTTGTTCGTTGGGTGGGTCAGTGTTAACTGACCATGGAATAAGATACACTGAAACTGAGGATGCTGGAGCAGTGGGCCAGCTGAGCTGCCTTTTGAAGTGCTATGGTCAGCGTTCTGGGGTCTGTTAATATTGCTTATTAGTGAACCACTTATCTCACAGACCGTCTTAATGAGACCAAGCTTCTTGCTGCCAGTGGCTTGGATGAGCTGGAACAGCTTCCAACTATTGAATACTACTACAGGTAATCTGTAGACTGTTTTGGTTACCTTGGTAAAACTTCGGATAGTCATTGGATTTAACTGAGTATCTCATCAAACACAGACGTTACCCCGGATGTGCCACTTATTTTCATCCCATTTGTGTGTAGATAAGGAACGCGAAAGATAATATTTTAATAACAACAATGTCAATAAATAATAAAAGATAAAAATAACCTAATAATGACATGACCAAATATGAGGGTTCAGTGTAACGCTTAACAATAATGGAACCATGAATTCATGCGGAGTAACGTGTGCAACAATAGGCCTTTAAACTCCCAGTTTGATCTTGAGACAGTCAACAATTAACTGTGCTGATTACTTGTAGTTTGCATGCAAATCGTCACTTATTAGCTTCTGAGTTTCCAGTGTTCCAGCAGCGATACGTTTAAAAAAGTGATAATACCAAAAATACTCATTACGTAATTCTGTTTAGCATTTTCATTATGAAAGATATGTATATAAATATATACACACCTATATCATAAATAAGTGCAACTTCCTTCTGGAAAAACAAACTCTGTTCACGCACTCTTATTCATCTCAAAATAGGCAAGGAAGCAATAAGGATGTTCTTCTAGTTAGAGACAAAAGACAACCTACCAAACATAAGGATTGTCAGAATTTAGGAATCAGTATTCACAACTAAAACAAAAACACCATCAATGGAAGAAACAGTATCCACTGTTTATAACCTCACCTAGAAAACTAGTTGACTAGTTACCAGCCGGTCCTAAGCCCGGATAAGCAGGGAATGTTAGGCATAGGGCTAGCAACACTACCCTCCATAACCAATCCAATCGCTAAACAAACTTCAAAGCACAAACAAAATATAAAAAATATAAGCAAACTTATTCCTCGCTGGAATCGGAGAGGCGAAATGACGCCGGTTAGTGAAAGCCTTCGGGAAGCCAATTGGCCGATGTGTCTTCTCTCGATGAAAGCGAAAGTAAGTATGGAGACATGGAATGTCCACACTATGTTTGAACCTAGCAAGGCTGACCAGATTGTAAAAGAGATGAGAAGGTATAGCACTGAAGTGCTAGGAATTTGCGAAAGCAGGTAGAGAGAGAGAGAGAGAGAGAGAGAGAGAGTCAATTTTCTACTCCGATATTGTCACCCAGACGACAACCACGAGCACACTGAGTTATCGAGTGGCTATCATGATGTCTCCAACAGCATCGAAGGCTCCCAGGCAATGGGAACCAATCCCCTCCAGAATCAGGGTCATGACAGCGAGATTCAACTCAAAAGGAAGGAAGGTCACAATCATACAATGCTACCCACCTACACCACAAATAATGCAAATGAAGAGAAAAAGGAGGGATTCTACAGACAACTGCAATCAACACTGGACAAGACCTCAGTTGGCGATATCGAAATTCTAATGGGCGACGTGGATGCCAAACTGGGAGTGGATAGCAGCGGAAGAGAACTAACCATAGGTTGAGAAGCACTCGGTGAAATGATGAACGAGAATGGAGAACTGTTTACATAATTCTGTGCATTCAACGATTTGGTGATTGCAGTGAGGCAGTGTGTTCAAGCGACATGGATTTGATCAGACACCAGGACACACTAAAATCAGATCGACTTCATCTCGATCTGAAGAAAGTGGAGACGTAGCCTACTGGATACAAGATGAGATCAAGAGAGGGAGCATATGTGGGTTCACACCACTCACTATCTAGTGCAATGAACCTTCAAAATCAAGTTAAAAGCCTTCAAGGAAGCTGGTGATAGACCACAGTTCAAGTTCAACACTCGAAAACTGAAGGATGAAACTACAAGGGATATCTTCACGGCAGCCATCAAAACAAAATGGGAGATATTGAGAAACATCCCTGAAGGAACCTGTGTGGATGAACACTGGAACTCTTTCAAAGCTGTCTGTAAAGAAACCTGTATAACCGTATTAGAAAGAAAGAGGGAACAAGACAAGGAATGGATCTCCACGGACATTTGGAAGCTGATAGAGCAGGGAGAGAAAGATGGTGAAGCAGAAGATGAAGTACTGCAGTGCAGTGCAATGAGAGATAGTGAAGGAAACCTAGTTACCAAAGAGGAGAAACAAAGGAAACGACTGGCCGACCACTTCAAAGCACTTGAATCGACTACTACCTGCAACTTGTCCAGAAACACCACCAGCAGCCCATCCACAGAACTATTACTGTTTATAAGCTCTCCAAAAAAGCAAAAGCGAAATCATGAACACCATAAAGTTGCTGAAATCCGGGAAAGTAGCAGGATCAGACAGAGTTCAACCAGTAGCACTCAAAACAGACTCCGAGACAATAGAGGACATGTTCACACCACTACTGCAGAAGGTTTGGAGGGAAAGAAGAAAAGGTAGCTGCCAATTGGAAGAAGAGCTACTTTGTCAAACTTCTGAATAACGGCAACCTAAGTCTTTGTAAAACCTGGCGAGGAATCACGCTCCTCCCCCTACCCACCAACAGTAAAATATCAAGCCGCATCAATCTGGAGAGACTAAAAGATGCTCAACCTTCATTAAAGTTTATGCTGAACGTGCAAACATCCAAAAATAGTCTTCATTGATATTGGTTTCATCATGATGTCTGTTCCATGAAAACTTTCCTTGAAAGCTTATCGCTAATAACGAACACAATTACTCCTTTGCAGACACTGATAACTAAAGTAAGCGATCACTCAACAACTGCTCAAACAACGTCAATGACTAGAAGCAGTTCTGACGTTTCACACAAAGTGCCTTGAATGAAAGAGCCGAATATCCAAAAATCATGAGGCTTAACTACCTGGAAACTACAACAAGCATATACACAAACTAATTGTTGTACATAGCAGAAAAAAACTTCGGTTAGGGACTATGACCATCTAACATGACTGTATTGCATTTCAAAAAGTTAGAAATCCCAGTAGGTTACTGAAACGAATAAGAATTTGAGAGAACAATCAATCTCAAGTACTACCCCTTCCGGCTATACAGTTACGAACTGGTGAAATTAGGTGAAATGCAATCGCTAATCCAGAGCACATACTACAAATTAGTTCAATATTGAAACAAACCGTGTCACAAGTAAATGGAAATCAAATCGAATGGATGTTATTTTTGAAGGTGAGGTTAGCCAGCTGACTGGATCTGTAGTAAAAATATTCAATGCAGCGAAACATTTCATCAGAATCCCAGGCAAACCATCTCTGAATCAGCGAATATAGGATAGGTAATCAGTGATGGCCATTTCAAAGTGTACTCAAGAGTTCGACTGTTACTGTATGGTTGGTTAAACAGGCTGCACTCAGAAGGCTTCATCCACATGCGCACGTGAATATGTGTCAGTTTGGTTTCGAAAATGAATTGCGAAATGCATAGACAGTGCAGTTCTTTCGTAGTGGGCAAGTGGTGGATATCAAATTCAGTTGGATCGGGGGTTGTCTACGATGTGTTGTCTTCCTTACCATCTGTCGAGATGAGCATGACTACGTCTCTTATCTACAGTGTACGTTATGGAAATCAACACGAGGAAAGCTAATGTATACTTTCAAGGAAAATATGTTCAGCACTTTTATCTCATCAAAACTGACTCGCAGTGCGGTGAACGCATTCTCTGTGAACTGTTCGATCATAAATTTCACATTTCGACTTCTCGTTACATCCCCTTACTTGGTCTTCCTCGTTTTTCCAATCAACACTGATTTGCATATGTAATTGGTTCTATGACGTTGCTTGTTATCACTTTCATACTCCAAGTGGCGCTCCTTATTAATAACTTTGTTGTTGCATGATTGTATTCACATGATATTTCCACCCTACTTGGAAATATCTCATCACTACATAGTGCAAGTTTGTTGGTGATTGAAGGAGTATATACACTGATACCGCAGTTTGATAGACAGATATGCGTGTACATAAATGAGTGGTTATCTCTGCACTTTGGTTTCCTCATATCGTGATTGTTCTGTTCATATTCATTGGTTGCTCAATGAACACCAGACTCGATATAGTTCTATCTGCTAAATCGAACCAGAGTGCCACTGGTGTCCTTTTGATACTAGCTTACAAATCATATCAAAATATTTAAAGTCTATTTCCGAGTCTTGTTATTTTCGTTAGTGACACTGGGTGATATTTGAAGTATTTATTCGCGTATGACACTGTTCACAGCCTATTCCTAACTTCTACTTTTTTCTCTAGATTATTTATTTTTTTATTACCGAAATAAATAACCTCTAGGTTGTGTTATTGACTTTAGCCGATTTCCACACTTTTTGTCAGCCTACGTCATCGTCATTTTGGATCTCCAACGAAGTGTGCTTGTCAGTTTATGAAGGTAAGTTTTATGCTCTTTTTACCGTAAACCTGATATTCTACAGATTGCGCAACAATGGAGGTGAATCAACGATATATATTGACATCATTTTGACTATCTGAGTGAGATAGCCATGATTTGGGAGACTAGTATTGATACTGGGTGATGATTGCAGGTGAGATGAAACTTTTGTTTATCTAAGATAGTCAAAATGATCATGAGTAGGATGCTCCCTTTCTCTGATGAAAGTAGATTTAGATTGAGATGGGAAGTCCTAACCGGGCGACCAGTGTATGATCAAGTGGTAGGAAGGCATCAAGAATTCACATGGTAGTCGACCAAAAC